CCCCCCGCCCGTTCCCGTCTCCAGGCTGCGTTATCTGCATCTTCACTTTTAAATTTCCGCTTCCCTCCCTCTCGCCTGTCGCTACGCTCCCGGCCCTGCAGCCGTTGCTCCCTTTATCTCTGCCCACCCCAGCGCCTTCACCCTCCTTTCTCCTACTCTCTGTTGGTCCCTAGAGACCCGATCCCCCTTCCTGGTCTCCCCTTGCTTTCACCGGTTTCCGGTCTTCCTTTGGCCCTCAAGCCTCAGGCTGGGTTCTCCGCATCTCCCCAGCCAACTTCCGGGTTGCTCTCTCCTTTCTTCTCTTCACCTTCCTTTCTAGGTCTCCCTTGCTATCTTATCCCAGTTGGGTGTTTCCCCCTCCAGTGTCCTATCTCTCCCTCTTCCTCGCATTCAGCTCCTGAAAATTGGTTGCGGTTGGGCTTACTATCCCGCCTGTGAGACAAGAGTCTGGGCCGCTTTTTCCTTATAGACTCCTGATTTCTTCTTCGATTTTCCCTGCATGTTTCTCTCCCATTATTCCCCACCCTCATGGCCACTCCCAGGCTGGTTTTGCCTGAACCACCTGCAGAGTTGCAGGGGTCAAGATAGGATCATAATCTGTACATAGCTTTTAATTCATACAGAGGCTGATGTGGCTCCCAGGTGGACCAGGGTCACTGGTTACCTGTGAGTCTACCTAGCCCTGAAGACTGAAGTCAGAACCCTGGGTCAGGAGTACACTTTCTGTACCCATCCTGTACCCCAAGTGCCACAGGGGTGGCTGCTGTCAGACTTGGTGTTCTCTAGGTCTTTCTCTCTCATTGTTTGAACTCAGGGGTGAAGAGAGCTGGGAGCAAGCAGGTCTCCTGCAGGCCCTTCTTCCTAGGGTGCTTGTATGAGGATGACTACAAAGCCCTACTCCTGCTTAAACTGCTGGAGTGCTCATCTTTGCTGAGTGAAGGGTACAAAGGAGCCAGTGAGGCTTGTAAGAAGCAGTCTAGTCTAGGATCCCTGGATCCTAGAAGGACAGGGATGGGAGCTTCAGGGTGCATATATGAAATCTGGTAGGAGAAAAGATAGAAGTTGGGATGTTCCTGGGGAACAGATAGGATGCTGCAGGAGAGGGTCTGGAAGGTGATGCTAAGGTGCTGAGATCTCTGTCCTCTTTCTTTGCCCTCTTACTGCTTCCTCCAACAACTACTAACAGAAAGCAACAAGAAGGTAAGAGCTGGGAGGCACAGAAGTCATCCACTTAATATGCTTAGCAGGAGGCTAAGGCGGAAGGGAGAAGCGTTCAGAGAAGCGTCTATCCAGACATCTCAGCTTGGAGCTGGACAAGGATCAAGAGCTCAGGCTTTGTGCCTATCTTGACAGATAACTCAGGTGCTGAAGGGGTAGGGCATTGGTAACAGTTTATGTGGATGGTTCCTGGGGTCCATTTCCTCTATCTCCTCCTGCTGACAGAACATAGGCCAATGAGAGTCTTTAGTAGCTTCCCCTCCTTCCCCCTCCTGCCTAGATGGATGTCATAAGCCCACCAGAGTCTAAAGACCACCAGTCTGTCTGGAATGAGAGAACCAGAGATGAAAACACACAGATATAACTGTCTTCCTCAACCTTCACTCTTTAGCTGCAAGGGAATGACAGGCATAGGAAGCAAAGTGTGACCTCTGGATCTAAGAAAATCTAAGAAGATCTATGCTGACAAAACTGCAGCGAATATTATTGCCCCCAATTCCTTCATTGTACAGGGGACAAACAGACCAAAGACTAGCACACTATTCTTTCAGTTCCTGAAGACATCTCCTTGACACTTTCCAGTGACCACATACCTACCCCAGGGAGGACCACTCAGCCAAGAGAAGCTACCAGATTTCTCTTGTCCATTGCTTTTTCCTAGTAACAGGTAATATATAGGGAGATAAGCTCTGAAGCCAAGCTGATCTAGGATCTAGATTCAGCTCTGTGGCTGTTTCCTACTTGTGTGACTTTACACTGTACTTTAGTCTTCTTATCTTTAAATTGAGGATTTAAATGCTTGGCATAATGTAAGATGGGTGAATGCTTACACCAGGTTCTATACATTTAGCTTTTGTTAATATTACCATCCCCCTAGGGCATGACCAAACCTCATAGATGTCTGAGGCTCTGTTGAAGCCAGAGGTTTTTAGTCACAGCTCAAGTTAGCCTTAACTGAACCTGGATTTGGCATCAGGAGCCCTGTGTTCAAACCCTGGCTTTATCATTGATTAAGTGGGTGGCTTCATTAAATTCCAGTTTCTTCATTAAAGTAGTAGATGAAGAAGGAAGGCTATTAGGAGGATCAAATGCATGGACTCTAGAGTGCATTCAGATATTAGGCAGAATTCATACCCACTGAGAGCTTAGTTCTAAAACCCATGGCAGGGCAGATGGAGGATCTACTGTGCCAGAGTCCTTCCATAACATCACACACATTTTCAAGGAATTCTTATTGTATCTTTACCACAACCCCTTGAGACACACAAGGCAAGGATCAATAACCAGTTTTCAGGTGATGGGACTGGGGATGTTGTGAGATTGAGTCCCAGGTATTTTGGTTTTCAATCCAGGGTTCTTCCTAAAGGGAATGTTGCCTGGCTTTGTACAATTTAGACCCCTGAGGTCTAAGACCGAGTACTCTCCAACATCAATATAATGGCTCTGGCAAGAACAATGATATAGGTCCCTACCCCATCACACTCAGGGCTTCACAACACTAAAAGTCAAGATAAGGTAGCTGGGTGTGGTGGTGCACGCCTTTAATCCCAGCACTTGGGAGGCAGAGGCAGGCAGATCTCTATGAGTTCAAAGCCAGCCTGGTCTACATAGTGAGTTCCAGGACAGCTGGGGCTACAGCAAGACCCTGTCTCAAAAAGACAAAAAAAAAAAAAGTCAAGAGGGCAGCCAAAGGGTTTGGTGAGGCTCTGTCTATGTGGGGGAACTGGCAGAAACCACAAATCCAGGGCTCTGGTGGCTACTGTCATATTTAGCCCTGCCATGGCTATGGGTTTTTCCATGTGTCCAAGAACCCAGGCTCATGTCAGTGGCTGTGGGATAATATCCCCAGCTCATTTGTTCTCTAAAGGGAATGAAGGAAGAAGAATGAAGAGGGGGAGTTCAGATTGACTGATAGGAAGGTTATGGAAATGCTTTGTAGATGTCAAAGTTGAATGTCACAGGGGATGCAAGAGATTTCTGTTATTCAAAGGCTCTAGGGGTTGGTCTCAGAGAGAAGGAAGTCTACCCCTTAGAAGGGCTTGAAGGGACAGTGGGACCTCCCACTAACTCTTCTCCTGGGAATAGAAGAAAGGGGATTATTGAAAGAAGCTGGTAGGTTTCCCTGGCTGGATGGGAAGTCAGGGTGAAGATACAGACTGAAGATAGCCTAGGAGTTAGAGCTTCTGTGTAGAACTAATGATATTTTGTCCTGCATGATGGTTCCTGGCCCAGAGAGTGTGTGATGATTGAGATTAAGCTATAAGCCCTAATGAAGGGTAGGATTCTTGATCCATCCTAAAGAATGGTAAAGGCGCCATTTGGGCTTGTAGTACCCTGACCTACATTTGTGGACCTTTTCCAAGAAGAAATATGGAACTGGTTGTATTTAACTGGATTCCCACAATTCTTAACAGCCGTTTCCTTTTAGCTCCATCATAGCATATCCATCTCCATCTAAGCTGCCCAGGTTGTAAAGAAGAGTCTCTTAGAAGGATAAGAATGGAGATCACAAAGCGAGACATCAGGATTGGTGATGTAGTTCAGTGTCAGAGTACTTACCTAGTAGGTACAAGATTCTGGGTTAGTTACACACACACACACACACACACACACACACACAAAAAAAAAAAAAAAAAAAAAAAAAAAAAAAACAAGACACCAAGAAAGAGGGGGGGGGCAGGCAGGTTCAGGAGCCTTTATTGAGGGTTTTTAGGGGTGGTGATTGGGAGTGTGGAGCCTAGTGCTGGACTCTCCGAATGGACTGCAGCTGTCTAGTGTGGGCCTGTGTGCTGAACTCACTGTAGGTATGGAATTCTCCACTGTGTCGGTCCTGTTCCAATACATACTGGTAGCCTCGGTAGCCTGGGTATTGGTAGGCCACCCACCTAGGACAGTGAAGAAAAGGAGTGGTGAGTAGACTCTGTCTGACCCATATCTATGCAGTCTTATTAGTAATCCCCTTCCCCAGCTACCAACTCTCTAGTCCAAAACTATTGCTTTAACTTTCTCTATTGAGTGTTCCTTCTCTGCCTTTTGCTATGGGTCTTCCTATAATCTATCCTAACCTGGCTCTTATACCACCATGCATTGCTTCCTTGCCCATTGTTCCCCTGGCTCTGGTTCTCCACTACCTCTTCCTCTTCTATCCTTTCACTCCCTCTCCCCTCCATGTCCCTGGCCTCTCTGTACTATGCCTTTAGCATCCTTCATCACTTTCTTCTCCTTGATTCCCATTGCATCCCATTGTTCTTTCCATCTCCCCTGTTCCAGTCCCAGCACTCACGCTCCAGAATTGACTTTGAGGGAACCCACATCCTTGCTGGCCCAGCCCATGGAGGGTAGTGATGGGTAATCATCACTGAGTTCAAATTTGCATCCTTGGAAGTTTTCCCCTTCAAACAGTGTCACACAGCTGTCTCTGTGGTTCTGAGACACAGGAATGGAGAGAGGGAGTTTGCAGAGATGTTAGGCACTCCAAAGGAGTGTCCATTCACCCCATCAACTTCCAGGTAATCTGGCAAGCTGGGGTGTTCCAAGGCCCCACCTGGGCCCTTGCCAAGAAACTCTTTGAGATCAAGCCTAGAGGCATCTTGTGACAGGAGCTATTTTGTTTCTTTGTTTTCTTTCTTGAGTATAGTAATCTGGTCTCCAACTCATGATCCTCCTGCCCCAGTCTCCTAAATAGCTGGAATTATAAGCATGTATCACTGGGTTCCTCCTGGGCCCATTTTTAGGAGAAAATCAGAGGTTCTGAGAGAGGTCTAGCCCATAATCAGGATATTTTCCCAAGGGTCTCACTGACTACCCAATCCCCTTCCAAGCTCCTGGTCACAGCCTCTCACAGGGAAGAGCCCTGCTAAGGGGTAATGGATGACAGAGTCAGAATAAACAGGCAGGGACATTGCAGTGTTGGTTGCATCTGGCTTTCCTAGGCTGGTTCCTCAGCCTCTTGGAACAGAGACACTGGACTGGGCTGGATCCTCTGCCCTCAAGCACCAGCCCCAGGACTTACCAGTACCTAAATGAATGGAAAGTGAGGTCCTCCTTTCTGGGGTGTTTGGTTCCTCATCTCCCCTTATTCCTCCCAGACACCTGCTGACACTGACTCTGTTTTCAACCTTGCTCACTGAACTGAGTTTCTAGTGTCATCTCTGTGTTAACACTTGTGACCCTGGTAAGTCACATTATGCCTCTGAGCCTCATTTCTAAGACTGTGTATGGGGCTGACAGCAGCCACTCCAATGTCTCAGGGTTGTGTGATGATAGAGGTTCCTTCCACCTGAAGAGGACTGAATGAGAAGGACCCCAGGTTCTCAAGAACTCTGAAGTCCTTGTTGCTGTCCGTGGTGCTGATTCACAAGAGCCAGGCCTGTGCCTTCAATTCCAATTTTCCCAAAATCGATTTTTGGTTCTGAGGAGTAATACCACGACCACCACCTAAGAGTTTATTTACACATCCAGTGAAGGGACTGAGAGGCTTTCCAAGGTACCACCAAGGGGTTAGGGCCTGGAGCTAGGAAGGAGGGGAAGTGGGCTGTGCTCACCGCACAGAGCACTGGCCTGAAGGACAGCAACTGGTTGCTGTGGTGGCCACTGCTGCCGCTCCAGGCACCGCAGCAAGGATAGTCTCCTTTCTCCAGAATGAATTGCTGTCCCTGGAAGTCGGGGTATTCATAGGCCACCCATCTGATAAAGGAGAAGGGGAACTGGGAGGCATCTGTCCAACCTCCCCCTCCCTCTTGCTTTGGTTGAAAAGACCAAAGAACTCAGACTCTTTCTCCAGCTCTACATCCTTCCCTTGACACACCCAGCCCTTAGCAATCCAGCCCTTCTTGAGGCTGAAAGCCCCAAACCTGCTGCTTTGAAGGGCCCAGGCCTTCCATTCAGGGCCTCCAAGTTAAAAGGAGTTTTTCAGGTTACAAGTGCTCTTCTTCAAGGATTTAGGTGCCTGTCTAAGGAAATACCCGACCCCTTAACCACCCTGCTATAGCAGCAAGTGAGCCTCTGCTCTCCGCAGAGACCCAAGCTGGGTTCTAGAATATTAAAATAGGACCAATAGAAAGGATTTGGCTCCACAAAGCCACCTATCTTTGCATAAAGAAAATTTTGGTAAAGGACATAACTACACCGGGCATCCTTTTGGGACCCAGAGTGGCCCCATGCTTCTTGATTGTCTCTAGTTTGCAGGAGGACACCCCATTATTTGTCTTAGGGCGGGTTGGGAGTTTTTGAGAGAATGAAGTGTTTCCCCTTGTTGGTGAGTCTTTCTAAGGGCATACAGGGCTGTAGACTGAGGTCCCAGGTTCCAAGTTTGGCCAGGAAGAGGGCATCGGGCATCCCCCAAATCAGCCCAGCAGTCGCCCCAAGATCACTCACGCGCTGTTTTCCACCTTGACAGAGCGCACCCTGCGCAGGGCTCCACGCTCGCTGGCGTTGGCACAGTCACTCAGCAGCCGGCAGCGACGACCCTGGAAGTCCTCCTCATCCCAAAGCGTGAGGCTGGCGGGCCGCCGGACCCGGCGCTGCTCATGCCGCTGTGAACAGGAAGGACCGGACCACGCGCTCAGCTCTCCAGAGCGCCCTACCTTGCCAAAGCCTGCCTGTGAAGGACCCAGGGTCTGAACCCAGCCTGTCTGGATACAGGCGCCAAGGTCTCTCTCTCTTTCTCTCTCTCTCTCTCTCTCTGTCTGTCTGTCTGTCTCATCTCGTCCTCTCCCTCCCCAGCCCTGGGTATTCACCGGGTGGGTGAGTGCCGCACACATGAAAAGTGGAGATGCTGCTCGCAAGCCTGCGGTGAACAGCTTTACAACCAGGCCTGGATGGGGTGGGCGAGCTGAGTCAGCTGGCAGGCTTCGGTCAGCTCTGATTCTCCATGGCCAAAGAAGGTCTTCCCCCCAAGAGGCAGCGGATCTGCTCTCAGCGCCCCCCCCCCCCCCCCCCCCGCCATGACAACAGAAAGTGCTGAGGAGCGCATCCCGCAAGCGACAAAGTCCAGGCTGATTCCGCGCTTTCTTTCTTTGCGTTCCAAGCCTGGCGGGGAGCGCCCAGCCCCAGGGCAGATCGTGTGCTTCGTGGCCCAGACCCTCAGGCCAGAAGACCTCGATAAGGACCACGCATGCCCTACCAGCGCTGAAGTTCTTCCCAATGTCAGATTCCTCTTCTTCCTCTTCCTCTGCCCTAAGTGCAGGTCTCTCTTTTGGGCCACGCTAGGGCGAAGGGAAAGAAGACGCTCTGCCAAAGACCCTCCGGCAATCCCCTCAGGTCTCTTTTCCCACTGCTTCCAGTTTCTTGTTTCTGGCGCTTTCCAGGTCCAGCTCCCGGAGTTTTCCGGGGGTCGAGACCAGGTCTCGCCGCCAGGCGGCACCAAGAGCAAAAGAGGGCCAACCTCTGAAGTCCGGCACTAAAGCATTAAGAGTTACCAGTAGCCAAGGAAGCGCCTTACTGTCCTAAGTAGGAAGAACGCCTCAACCTATCCACTCCCCCACCCCGTCCACGAGACTGTTTCCCCCTCCCCTTCTGTCCCCAAGCGCTCAGATGGGGCCAGGCTCTCTGCTCAAGCTTTTCCTGTGCTCAATCTGAGCTAAATTGTAACACAGACTAGTGAAGTAGGCCCTGCCACTGTCCTTTCCTAAAGGAAGGTGTGGAGGCCCAGAAATGGTTCAGGATGAGGTTGAGATCAAGAGTGGTCCAGCTGAGATGTGAAGATCCACTTCTGTTCAACTACAGTTCATACATAGATTATCTCCACAAACAAATACCATGTTTGGGGAGAGGGGTGATGTGGACACAGGAAAGCCTTAGAGCCCCAAAGAAGTAGCTCACCACTGTAACTGTCAACTAGACACAAGCTTCTTGCACAATTGAAATTTGAGAGCATATTCCAGCAGGAGTGTGAGGGGTGGGTGTGAAAGCAACTAATATTTTGTTGCTCCTGTGAGCCAAGCACCTCCTCAATAGACTCACAATAGCCCAGTGAGTTGTCTGCATGTGCAAATGTGGAAACTGAGGATGAACTTGGTGCAGGGCCTAGTTCAGATTTGTAACTGGCCAGTTTTAGAGTTAAAAATAGAATCCAAAGCCAGGGCTCTGCCATTACCCACTCCAACTCCTAGGACTAAGACTCATAGGTAGGAAGTTCTGCTCCAACTCCTGGAAGCTTACCCATGCCATTTCTCCCAACCTGCTAATCTCATTCCCAGCTCAGAGCCTTTGCATCTCTTTCCATTCCCTGGAATGTCTTTAAAAAATTTTTTTAATGTGTGTGAGTGTATTGCCTGCATGTATGTAAGTGCACCTGTGTCATGCAATGCCTGCAGAGAACAGAAGACGGGGTCAGATTTCCCTGTAACTGGAGTTAGGGACAGTTGTTAGCCACCATGTGGGTGCTGGGAATTGAACCCAGATCCTCTGGAAGAGCAGCTAGTGCTCTTAACCACTGAATCCTTTCTCCAGCCCCATCCTGGAATGTCTTAATCACTAGATCTTCAGCCACTTTCCAGGTGATGCTGGTCCTGGCATCAATCACATCTTTTTTGTCCCTAGCATTTGTCACTCTAAAGCCACCCTTCTCTTCTTATGTTTATGGGTGCACTAGTGCCTCCCTATTAAAGTGTAAGCCTCCTCCTCATCAAAGGGGCAGGAACCATGGCTGCCTTGTTCCCAGCTATTATCCTTACACTTAGCAAGGTTCTAGATACATAGTAGACATTCAATAAAACTTAATTGAACAAGATGGCCAGTTGTGGGCCAAATGTCCATGAGGAAGGTGTTCTATAAATCCTTCAGTGGGGTTCAGGGTGATGATGGTTTGCCCCCACTCCTGAAGTTCTAAGCTTCTGGGAACAAGCACTAGTAGCAGGCAACACCTCCTTTAGGCCTCTCCATTCACTGGTGGGAGACATTCATGAACTTGAATTGAGTCTAGAAATCAAGTCAAGAGAGCATGGATGAGAAATGGGACAGGCCTGCCTACTTTGATAAGGGATTGGGCCAGAACTATGACACAACTGCCTACCTCTCTACCTTACACAGGGCTAGACAAACACATATAAGGTATCATTTTTCCCAAGTCACTGGGCGCTTAGAGTTCTAGCCTCTGTTGTTTGACAAGTCCCAGCTGTGGCAGAGGAGAGTTATAGACTCTCAGGCTCAATTCATTTGACAATTCTAGAGGCGGCCACCAGGGGGCAGAGCCAGTATGCACTGCCTGGGAAGTGGGCGCCAGCTGTAGGGTGAAGAACTTGTGCATCTGTGGGAAGCTGATCAGGAAGGGCTGCAGGTCGGTGGCCAGGATGTCAGGGATATACATCTGCATTGTCGGTGATACCTGGTGTCTTAGCTCTAAGTCTGTATTTGTCAGGAGCTGGGTCTGGAGTCTGTGTCAGGACTCAGCTCTCTCTAAGGGTGGTGGCAGCTTCCAGTTCAGGTCTTGGTCAGTACCTCAGTGTGTGTGTGTGTGTGTGTGTGTGTGTGTGTGTGTGTGTGTGTGTGTGTGTGTGTGTGTGTGTGTGTGTGTGTGTGTGTGTGTGTTCATTCTAGATTGGGGGGGCAGAGGACAGGTAAGATATTGGTTAGAATTAGACATCACCTGGGACTTGAGGTGGTGACTTATGTGAGAAACCTACCCTTTTCAATCTGGAATTCTAGCACCAGCCAGCCTCTTCCCTCTCTATAACTAGATTTCCTTACCAGGAAAACAGTGCATAGGTCTCATTACTCCACCCATGACTTTCAGTTCTATCAGTTCTCAGAAAAGGTCTCATCAGCCACCACCACACCTGCGATTACCACTTATAGCCACTGGGATTCCATATCCCCCCAGGCTTCATAAACCAAGAAAGAGAAGATGTCACTGAGGTACCAGGACAGGAAGAGGCTCTCAGGCAGCCTCCCCCAACCCCCCCCCCCAGCACCCTGGTGTCAGGGTAGACTCTGGGATGCTACTCTTTTTCTGTGCTAAAGATTCCTTCCATTCTCCTCCCATCTAGCTGGTCCAGTTCTGGCCCTCAGTCTCCCCCTCATGCCCCCTCCCACCCCCAGCAGCTGTTCCTGTTTGTTTTCCCAGATCAGTTGAGCTTAGAGCTTCCTGAAGAATGGATGCCCAGGTGGCTTTGTTTGCCAGCTCAGCACCATTCCCTCTACCCCCTCCACACCCACAGATTTGACCTTTAGGGAATAGGCAGATAAAAACTCAGATCTATACCTCAAAGTACCCCCAAGATCTCACAAGGATCTCATCCTCAGTGAATCTCCACTCTGATCCCACTGAGGTGATCATCTTATATAGGGACTTACACAAAAATCCTCAGGACTTTATCCTTATCCCTACCCTCACTCTACCCACTCCATCCCATGAGTCTATCAAAACATCCATTCCATGTAGACCCTTAGATTCCCACAGAGAAAACCCAGGCTTGAGCTTGACTGCTTTGATGAGGCTCTCAAATCCCACCCAGATCCCTGATCCCATGTGGGGGCCTGTAGATCCTGCTAAGAAACCTCAGACCCAATCCTAAGCTTCTGTTCATGTCTCCACCCCAGTAAAGGTCCTGACTCCCCAGGGAAGCAGCACCTATATAGAGTCCCACCCCATGAAGAGCCCAACTTGCCAGTACTTAGAGGTGCTGGTGGCTAATGTCCTCTCCTCATGGTGGCCTTCTCCCCACCTCTTCCCCTCATTTCACTGGGAAATTATCCAGGACCTTGGAGCCTGAAAATGCAAATTCTGTGAGTGGTGCCCTGATCCACCCTGGTCCCATTCCCAGTCCTTCCTTTCCAGCCTGGCTTCTAGAGTCCCCACCCCATTCCAGGTCTGAAACAAGCTGATGAGCTTCTTTCCTGGGGCAGTGCAAGCCTGGTCTCTCAGGAGACCGAGATAACTCCAGAGTGGAGACAAGCCCAGTTCACACAGATGGAAGGGAACCCCACCCGCACAGACTCATTTTCCAACCCCATTTTCTCTGCCCTTCATAGAGCTGGAGAACTTACCTGCATTCAGAGAGGTGTGAGGCAGCTTTCACCACCACTCACTCACCTGTCTGCAATAGATAACTCTAAGACTCAACAGATATCTCAGAGCCTGCTCATTTGTGGGGAGACATTTTGCTCAGTCATTTATTCCTACTATCATGTGCCAAGCAAGGGGGACGGTCACTCTAGTGCATGCCTCATGCACTTTGACATGTATATATGCCCCTCTGCAGTCACCTAGAGAGGCATCATTGTAGCCATTCAGCTATGATCATGTTCTAAAGACATGCTGCTGCCAGAGATCAAATTCCAGCTCTACTGCTTAAGCAGTTGGATAGTCTTGCACTTTACCTTTCCATTTTTTCCTCTGTAAAATGGGAATAATTGTCTTGACTGTTGTGAAGATTTAAATGCATGTAAAATGTGAAATGGCTCCATAATATGCACCGAACAAGTTAGCTGTTGCTGTTGTATTTTCAGGTTGTTTGTCCCGTGGTACCCACCACTTCCTCTGGGATGGAGAGGAGCTAGATTGGGAGAGGTCAGGGCAGGCTCTGGAATCTGTAACTGCCTTTCCCAGAATGGTCCTTGTTCTAGAGAAGCCAGCAGAGCCCTCAATATGGGGCACTTTTGCTCACTACCCCCTCCAGTCTTCCCAGGAGTCACTCTGCTGTTGAACTTAGTTTGATGGGGTCAGGGGAGGTGTTCAAAGTTCCCTCATTCTTGCTCAGACCTATGATGTCAAGGAAAAAATACTGGGGAGTGGAGCTGATGACCTGGATCCTGTTCTCTC